AATTTTAGGTTTCTTAATCAAGAAATCAAGAAGATCTGAGTATTGATATGCATGAATTGTGACAGCATCGATAAGTTTTTGTCTCCTAAATTTGGTCTCATGACATTAGCTACAAAAACTGTGGTTATTAATAAATTTCGTTGATTGTTTTGTTTATAGAAATTCCATACTATTTAACAACTAGTTAATTGATTCAGGCTTGACTTTGCGGAAGTTTTTAAGATAATACTAAATGATGTTAATCTGTAGTACTAATCCGTTTAAATAAATAATGTCGCAATCGCTTTTTGGTCCTAGTTTGTCTTGATCCGGGAAATGCTTAAAACAAGAGAAATTTTGAAGGCACCCAGAGAGGCTCCTTTCACAGCAATCGAGTTATTTCCAACCACTTCTTACGGTGTGCTGCATCTTTAGGTACCCTGCAAAATTATTAATATAAAATAGGGACTAAAATATAATTATTAGATCATTCATGAATATTTTAAAATAAGAATAATTATTCGTTGCGGCACCGATTTTCGACAACTTTTAGCTGTAGCGGCGAACAAATATTTCTGGCGTGTCAAGCGTCACAGAAGTTGATGATACGCCATCAGCCATGTGTAAAAATAACTTTCTTTTTTATGCTTTTTTCATTTGTTTAGACCTAATTAAGTTTAGTTGACATCAAACATCAGTTACGGACAGTAACAGTAACGGAAGGAAAAGGAGTACAAACCTTTTGTACTATTTTTTGTTGTTATAAAAAAATCATTTATATAAGTAGGTACAGCTAAATCACCCTGGAAACTGGTTTTTATTAAATTAAATTTTCACCTAATAATAACATTTGTAAATATCAAACAATGAAGAACCTTAATTTGAAAAAAAATAAGGTATATCATTCATTAATATTTACAAATGTTAAATATTATTTAATGTTATACAAATGTAAAAGTAAAGTCGATCTGAAAACGTCTAATTAGTGAGAATAGCAAAACAAGTGTTTTCAAAAGGAAAAAAACGCCGGCGCTATACGGCGGCGGATTGACAAAAGACTTTTTATGCATGAACGGTTTCGAACTGTTTCAAGCAAAAATAAACCTTATACCATATCACAAGAGCAAAAAGTACTTCGTAGGTCTATTCGGCCCTATGATAGTAATAAGACGGCAGTTCAACCATTTTAAGCAATATTAAACAATAAGACAAACGCATTGTTTTTTTAACAGGAGACTTGTTTTCCAGAAATTTATTTTACAACTTGAGTTTGTGAGTGATCACAATGAGTGCTATTATTTGTTACTTATTAGACTATTTTTCCACAACATGATTTAAAACCAACAAAGTAAAAAGAGTACCATGTACAAGTTAAAAAATGGTTGTCAACCCCAAAATATTTTAAATTTTCAAAATATCCAGAAACGAAGCTGTAGGCATGAACTACTTGCAAAATAATGAATATTGTGTTGTGGATAAATCTTCCAAAAACGCAATTTGAGCGAGTTATAACGATTAAAAAAGACACGACTCGCGTGTCATACGCCACACACAAAAATAATCGATGGCATACCTGGCGTGCCATTCACACTGAACCGGTTAATTCCTTTGTATAAAGGTTGAAGCATAGTTTTTATTATAATTTCCAAAATATTTAAAATCAAGGGTAACAAGTTAACTTATTCCATAAATTATATAGTCGTAGTAGTGTAATGTGGGAAAATTGCAAAGGCAGAAAAGTGGCAACATTGAAGCTAAATTGCAATATTCGATATTTCATTTTATTTTTGGTGTTTTTTACTTTATTATTGTTACGAGCTTGGGGTTCGAGACAATTAAAAACTGCCGATTGAATTACCAAAATTGTCACTTTAATTACACAACACTAATTACAATCTAAAACCACACTAATTATAAAACACAATCACTTTAGTTTGCAGTTATTTCGCTTCGAAGTATTCGCTTATATCGCCAATTCAATACTGCCTCGGTCTTTTTTTTTTTCTAAATGTGTATGCTGTTGGCCCTGCGGCCTTGACAGCTTCGTCTAATTAGGTTCGTAAGTGAGTACTTACGAACTATCGAGCGCAACGATTCTGCCGTCGGCGAGGCGGCGCAAAGCGCCGCGTCGCCGACTGCCCTCCCGAGGCACCCCGACCCCTGCTTTCGGAGTGAGGCTCCTCGAGCTAGGGGGGGGCTCGATGCGATTCAAGGGCCCCTCTGAAGGAGGTACGAACCTCGGCTTGAATCGCTATCGCAATTTTATTAACGAGTCGCAAAAAGTTAGAAACGCCCCGTATCACGGGTGTTAAACCTCGTGTACGGAGTGTCTGTGATGTCGCATTCGCCGGCGATTGCGATGTGCCCTAGTGTTCTGTGCTAGAGTAGTGTCTGAGTGTGTGAACCTGCCTCGGTCGTGGTCTATACCGGTCTTATATAGAGCCTCAGATAGTTTCTAGCACAGAACACGGAATAAGACCAGGGGGGGTACAGTTCCATAGTAATGCATTTGATCATAGAAAGTAACGCCATCAAGTGTATGATACGGGTCATAATTTCCTCAGTTTAGTTAGTTTAATACTCACTAGATGGCTTTAATATCTTTGTCACCTGTCCATTAAAATTAGTTTTACTTATCTTATAAATTATAAACTATATATTTTGTAATATGTATGCATGACAAATAAAAGTTGTTTAATCCATGATTTATAAAGTACATATAAATTATGCGTTCCGATTATATTTATGTTCGATTGAAATGATTAGTCTGTACTACAAGCTCTGTAGCCGAAAATATAAATGTATCTGTATCTGCTGTTGCGAAAAAAATAACCTAAATTATTACATATTTTTATGAAATTAAAAAAAAAAGTTTCAAAGTTAATTTTTCATCAATTAGATATTATTTTAAACGGGAATGTTACAAACCATTTTCAAAGTGAATCGAGTTCGTTTTGTTTAACTTTTCTAAGCCAAATTCAAAAGTTTGATGTCGATTTAGTTAATTTCGTATTTCGTAGAACAATTACTTAAGTGTAGTGTTACTAGCCAGTGAATATTTAGTTTATGGTGGTTTATTAGAGTCGTTTTACTTAATGAAAATGTTTTACGAATAATAATGGGTTGCTGAAAACGGTGTTCTAAGATGCTTCCATAATCATCTAAGATTGAGTGCCCAAGTTTATTTCTGTGTATCTAATAACTGTTAATAATATATTTAAATCTCTATGAAAATAATTGTTTTATTTCTGTTTGGTCAAATTTAACCGTGTTTCATTCCAATTTTCTAGTTATGTATGAATGCATAGCTAATTGTTAACTTTAATCTTACTCTTAAGCTTTGCGGTATTAAATTTTTATAAATTCCAATATGTACCTATTATATTCATTTATTACTATTTCCATTTCAACTTTTTACGAATGTAGAATGTAATTTCTACATTCGTAAAAAGTTGAAATGGAAATAGTAATAAAAAGAATATTGAATGTGAGGGTAGGCAGAGAGCATTGTACATATATACACGCATACATTCACAGAGTGCTCTCGTGTAAGTGAATTGGTATATACACACACACATATAAATATTATAGTTGGCGTAACAATCATCAGGTGGCGCTGTTTCCAAGGAGCACCAGTTTTACTCGCAAGAGGGCTCTCTTCTTCCTTATATATTACTATACTCTTTGAATAAGACATTTTTTCTGTTTTCTATGGTTTCTAGAACCTTCTACTGTAGCGACATCTAGAATTTTCGAGTACATATCGGTCCCGAAATTTCTGGAAGGATCTTGACTCCTAGTTCTGATACTCGACACTAGAGGGCACTAGCGTAACTAGTGTTGCCACGTACAAGACATTAATAGTGGCGCGCAACATTATGAAAACATAAACTAAAACTTACGTGTGGAAAGTGATTCCACTTGATTAATTGTTTTCGTGACCTTGAATCGCATTCTTTCACTACGCATTTACCCATTTTTTGTCGCGTATCGTTCGGCTCCACTCGGTCGGCGTCACATGAACACTGAACCGACGTTAGTTGGGCATAAGGTTGTGGCCATATGTGCAGTGGCAACGCTTTGACGCGGTTATTACTAATCTAGTGAAATATATAAATCAATGAGTAAGGTCCAGTGCCAAATAATTCATGTGGCAACCTAAAATTTTTGTGTACTTAAATTAGTTGTATCAACAATGTTAAGTAATTTTGTACCCAATAAATTAAAAAAATATACTTTTTATTATTAATTTCTCCCGACGGTGAGGCGATTACTTGCGTTCATACGAATGGCCGCAATGTGCGCGGTCGACACGTGACCGACCGACCACGCGGGACACGGGACTCACGGGAGTGGTTTGTCACGTGCGCACAAAGGATAAGTTTTAATGCGTAAGGTTAGTTCACAGCTTTCACACACAGATGTGATGTGATTCTCCGCTAGGAGTAAAGTATTCTGTGGATGTGATGCGATGCGGCGCGCACTTTGTAAGATGGTGATACAAAATATTTACTACACAAAAAGATACACATTTTATTGAGATAGTTCTCGTGGTGTCGCGCTACGCCGCGCTGCGCCTCGAGATGCCTCGGTGTAGCGCGACGCAGCGCAGCGCAACACGACGCAGCGATGCTTCGCCGGTAGGCGCAGTGTGCAAGAGCAGTGCTCTGCCAGGGCTTCACGATGCACCTCGCAACGTCGCGATGCGTGTCGCGGCTGCGCGCAAAGCGCTGCGAAACTACTGGTTTCTTCGCGCAACGTCGCGTTGTCTCGGTGTGAATAGAGCCTTATACTTCATTTTTCAAAGAATAAAATATCCTAATCTTTGGAGTATGTTTATTTTGTAATCACCCATCTAAATAGCGTCATACTAAAACATTGATTATATTCGTAGCCTGGCTAAGATCTCTCCTTTTACTCCAATCTCTGAATGAAGATATTTTAGAAGGGATTTGGAAATAAAATACATTAAAAACTGTTAAACTTTTTATTGCAGTCCACAGTTTGCTTAAACTAAAAAATTACAGCCTGCGCCCTCTACGACCACCCTTCCTGCGCGTAGAGTCTGATGGCACTGGAGTAACATCCTCAATGCGGCCTATTTTCATACTGGAGCGGGCCAGGGCACGGAGGGCGGATTGAGCGCCGGGTCCTGGAGTCTTGGTCTTATTACCACCTGTGGCACGTAGTTTGATGTGCAGAGCTGTGATTCCAAGAGTCTTGCATTTCTCAGCAACATCCTGAAAAAAGCATTTAGCAATTAATACATAAAATAATTGCAACAGTATTGAAATACTGTTCAACAGATTGCCATGAAAATTGGTATATACTGGACAATGTCTCAAAAATTTTATTGAAATTGTACTCAAACAGCTGAGTAAACCTAGGTTTATCAGTTGTTTGAGCAATACCCGTAACATAAAAATATCCACGGCTTTAAGACGCACTTTAACCTACTATTGCTGATATTACTCGATATGTGCTTTCGTATTTTTGACAAAGTTAACGGAAGTCATAGTTATTTTAATTGTTACCCAAGATATTAAATGTGGGGTGGTAAGGTGGTAATCTAAGTAGGGTTCACAGAGTAGAGTATTTGCTTAAAATGCTCGTTTTATTTTTATGAATTTGTGTAATTGGGGTTTTAGAATATTCAGTTAGTTTAAAGCAGGGCTTGATTGCAGTTTAGTTTACGCTACCGGTATAAAATAAGGCTGGTGGCTTATTAAGCCACCAGTGTGAAATAACGGTAACGCTCTTTTATAGGGGTGTCGTTATACCTTTGTATTAGGGATGTTACGGAAGTGTTTATATCGGAACCAAATTCGGAAGTGGAGTTTTTAAATTTTGTTTGTCGAAACCGGAACCGGAATCGAAGGTGGAGTCAGAATTCGAAAGTGCAAAATCAATCGGAAATTCCGAACTTTCGGAATCGGAATCGAACCTCCGTAACATCTCTGCTTTGTATAAATACGCGTTACTCAACCGAAATTACATATTATATTGGTAACCAAAAAAGATCTGCTAGTTTAACCAAAACATATTTGTTGTTTTGAAAAATGTAAATTATTCGGTGACAATATTGCTGCCACCACCTAGCTTACATATTATTGGTGGCAATAGATTACCCACTCCCTTTGTTAATATTGCAGGCGGGGTTGCGGGATGAACAAATAGAGGAACAGTTAGAACAATTATTCGGCTTGAAAAATCCTGAAGGGTCTGAATATTACTATGAAGAAGATAATTTCAGTCGTAACTGCGATTTAAAGCAATTACTTGAGACATCAGTAAGCAATGAGTCAGAACACTCTGTTACACCATCTAACGCTATTAATTCTCCAGCTTCAGAAACCGAAGCGGTCGACAATGCTGAGCGATCGTGTTCTGGTGTCTCCAAGGGAATTTCCAAGTCTTTCTCTTCAGTCTACTATAACAGACTGCAGTAGCGAAGATGATGATGACACTCATAATACGCCGCCATCACCGAAACGGAGTAAGAATTTCTTTTTTTTATTTCATAAGCACACTTACAATAAACATATTAACGGTTCAGTGCGGGTGACACGCCAGGCGTGCCATCGATTACTTTTGTGTGTGGCGTATGACACGCGAGTCGTGTCTTTTTTTAAATCGTTATAACTCGCTCAAATTGCTCTTTTGGAAATTTTATTCAGAACAAAATATTCATTTTTTGCGAGTAGTTCATGCATGCAGCTTCGTTTCTGGATATTTTGAAAATTTGAAATTTTTAGGGGTTGACAACCTTTTTTTAACGTGTACATGATACTATTTTCACTTTGTGGGTTTTAAATCATGTTATGGAAAAATTGTCTAATAAGTAACAAATAATAGCACTCATTGCGATCGCTCACAAACTCAAGTTGTAAATAAATTTCTGGAAAACAAGTCTCCTATTAAAAAAAACAATGCGTTTGTCTTATTGTTTAATTTTGCTTAAAATGGTTGAAATACCGTCTTATTACTATCATATGGCCGAATAGACCTACGAAGTACCATGTGCTCTTGTGATATGGTATAAGGTTTATTTTTGCTTGAAACAGTTCGAAACCGTTCATGCATAAAAAAAGTTCGCTAATAAAGTCTTTTGTCAATCCGCCGCCGTATAGCACCGGCGTTTTTTTCCTTTTGAAAACACTTGTTTTGCTATTCTTACTAATTAGACGTTTTCAGATCGACTTTACTTTTACATTTGTATAACATTAAATAATATTTAACATTTGTAAATATTAATGAATGATATTCCTTATTTTTTTTTCAAATTAAGGTTCTTCATTGTTTGATATTTACAAATGTTATTATTAGGTGAAAATTTAATTTAATAAAAACCAGTTTCCAGGGTGATTTAGCTGTACCTACTTATATAAATGATTTTTTTATAACAACAAAAAATAGTACAAAAGGTTTGTAATCTCTTCATAAAAAAAAGTCACTTACTCTCAATTTCAAAGAAAACGCGTAAAAAACACTAAAAACAAGTATCCTTCCATTTGTAACTTATGTTTGATGTCAAATAAACTTAATTAGGTCTAAACAAGTAAAAAAAGCATAAAAAACAACATTACTTTTACACATGGCGGATGGCACAATAGGCGTGTCATGAAATATTTGTTCGCCGCCACAGCTAAAAGTTGTCGAAAATTGGTGCCACAACGAATCGGTTAAACATTAACTCTATATTATATAACAAGTAACACGCTCACTGATATGTATATCAATAACAAGTGTACATAACATTTACCAACAAAAATACATGTAAACATTGAGAAGGAACAAAAAAGGAAAAAAAGAAACACATACATATATACATACATACATACATACATAAACACATACATATGCATATATATACATATATATATATACACACACATATATACATACATACACATACATACATGCATATACATTTCTCTCAATGTAAATGTGGCCTCACTGATAGATGATCAGTGAGAATTTTTTTAAAGACAGCATAAGAGTTGAGGTATATGTCGATGTCAGGTATAGCTCGAGATATTTCATTATATTGCGCACATATGCGGACCATGGGAGCTTGCTTACCAAGATGCGTTCTAGTGAAAGGTATGTGAAATGTTTTTCGAGAAGTATTGCAACAGCGAGGATATCTAATTGGTACTGATAGAGAAACCTGTTTAAGCAGCTTACTACACTTGACTTTGGAATTAATTATTTTATGCAAGAAAAACAGATCAAGTATCTCCCGCCTGTTTCGGAGAGACATCATTTTAAATTCAACCAATCTTTGATTATAGGACTGTCTGTGTGAGATACCAATTTCATGAAATGCAAGGTGCCTTGTAAAAGCGCGTTGTACGTTTTCAATGCGTTGGGAATGTATGTAATAGTAAGGATTCCAAATGACACTGGCAAACACGAGGCAACTTATCACAAACACATTGTACAAAATAATTTTAGTCCTGCAGGTAAATCCTTTTGTGTTTCATCTTATGAATCCGAGGAACTGCGTGACTTTTTTAATAATATTACATCACATATAAACATATGTGATGTAAAAGTTAACTTCCTGTCAATAGTAACTCCTAAGTCACTTTGTAATTTATTAAATTTCGAACACTTCTGAATCTGATTTGGAATCCGATGAAAATGAAGAGGAATGGAAGAAGGTAATGTGGAGTAATGAGAGGCCTAATTCAGAAAGATTTCTGACATTTTATTAAAGCCGTCAGTATTTTTTCCTAGCCGTACAAGTCCACTGACATACTTTTCCATATTTTTTTCTGATGATATTTTAGAATTAATAATGGAACAAACAAATTTGTATGCCACACAGCAAATTGTGACACAAACAAAAATTGCATCTGTCATGACTTGGAAATCATGGAAAATCTTCATTTAGCTGACAACTCAATAATGCCTAGTAGAAATGACTCCCAGTGTGATAAACTATATAAAATGTGCCCCTATTATTATATATGGTGAATAATGCTTGTGAAAGAGAAGCTAGATCTATGACTAGTCAGTCTATTGACGAAGCTATGATAAAATTTAAAGGCACATCATCATTAAAACAATACATGCCACTCAAGCCAATAAAACATGGATTTAAAGTTTGGGTGAGAGTCGATAGTGCCACTGGTTATGTATTTCAGTTTGAAATATATACTGGAAAAAGTAGTGACAACAGTCCTGAGTTAGGCTTAGGTACTAATGTCGTGAAGAAATTAACTGCCCCCTCTAATTGAAAAAAATGTTCAAGCACATGTTACATTTGACAAATTTTTTTCCTCATTTGCTCTAATTGAGTATCTTTATGAGCAAGGTATTTACTCTACTGCCACTGTAAATTCTAACAGAGTGGACTTACCGAAACTTATTAAAAATAAAAATAAAGCTAAAGTGAATCTGAAACAGCTTGAAAGGGGAAAGTATAACTAGCAGGTAAAAAAGATGTAGCATTTGTGTGGAAAGACACAAAACCTGTAACTATTCTCACAACTGCATTTCACCCAAATTTAGTCTCAACATGTACCAGAACAAAGAAAGATGGGACAAGTAAAGAAATAGAGTGCCCTGAAGCAGACAGACAATATACTCCACGAATGGGCCGAGTTGATCGCTTTGATCAAAAAAGGGGCACCTATTATGTTGGGCGGATAAGTAGGAAATGTTGGCGACTTTTACTTCACTATTGATTTGGCAATAACTAATGCATATTTGTTATATGAATTCGAAATAGCTCGAGAGTTCAGTTTACTCTGTCAAATGTATCATTTCGATTAGCTATTGCAAGAGGGCTCATTGACAACTGCTTTAAGAAAGAGAAAAATCGAATGACTTCCAAATTTTGCAGCAAAGTAAAAAGCAAACACCTTCGAGACACTATCAAAAGGTCATCAGAGTACCGGACGAAATTAGATTTGCCAATGTCGCCTCATGAAATAGATGGGGGTACTGTAGATGTCGTGCGTGCAGTACCAAAGAAAATAATGTACGTAGCAAATTTATATGCAGTCAGTCACTGCAAAGTTCCTCTTTGTGTTTTCCCATGTTTCGGTGCATTTCATGCCAAATAATAATAATTAAGTGATATGAAATAAGTCTGTCATTCAAGTTACTACTAAGTGCAATAATATCAATTAATAAAATTTAAATTATTTCTATGTATGTTTTATTTTGGTACTCTTTAGACAGGTAGTGGCCACAATTTTCACTGTGTCAAAGAATACTATAAAATTTCCAATTTTTAATTTTTTTGTATAACATACAAAAAACCATTTTTTCATATTTGCCACAGTTATCTCGGCCTTAAAAAAAGGTTAAAAACTGTATATCTACTTTAATTTACAATGAGAAATGGACCAAGTTTGAAGGCATTACTTAGTGGTAAATTTAAATTACTAGTCCTTAGGGGTGAAAATACATCTGTACTTTGACTATTAATAGAGAATAGATGTAGATGTCTATGGGCCACAGCATCCAATTATCAGCAGGTGGACTGTGTGCTCAATTAACCTTTATTCTATTAAAAAATCTACTTCTTGTTTAAGTTTAATTTTTTTTGTAGATATTCCATTATCTTTAATTTAAAAATAAGTGTATTGTCATAGTCTTGTGTAGTTTGCGAACGATGAACAAATAGAAAATGTATCATAGCACTGTATCTAGAAGAAACGTTTCTGAACGCTGATTGTTAATCGGTCTGACAGCTCTTTTCTTACCCCTCAGTCGCAATACGCCAAATCGCACGTGCGAGCGAGAGCATACGAGAGCAAGTAAACAAGAGAGTCGGTGAGTTGAGAATGTCATTTGGACAAGAGCCAATGAATGCCTGTAATGGTACCATTGATCAAATCTGTTAAAATGAGACGTTACAGAAAGATACATGTTAGATATCTCAATGCAATAACGTCTAATTTAGCTTATCATCCAAAAAGATTCTAGACTGACTCACTGTGTTCGCAAATTATTGTACTTATTATAATATTTAATAAATAGATACAAACAAACATTTACTAGACTTTGTTTTGGCACTTGCTGATATAATAAAAAAATTGTAAATGTATGTAATAAAATTGAAGTAATGTTATAACAATTATTTAAGAGTATTTTTTGTGCTTTTTATTATTGCCTTAATATTGATTGCATGCTTGTATGCTTATTATTTTCACATGTTATGGATATGGGATTTTATTTCACTTACGTTAATTATTATTTCAAAACTAATTTGCTTTAGATTTTGACCAAGAAATTACCAAGTGTGTATATGAGTGATAATACAACTTTACGATTAGAGCAGATATCAAATGACTGGGACTCACTGACCATTCCATACAGATTTTACAGATAGATACAGTTTTAACTGCTTAGTAGTACTGTTGACTTAATAGAGCTAATAGAACAAACTAGTTCACTGTCCATAATGAACTAGTATGGAGCGATCTTTAAAATGACCAAGCAGGCATAAGGACTATATTGTAATTTTTGGGAATAAAATAAATACTTAAAATGTTTTTTATTAATACATTATTTTCAACTTTTATCAAAATCATCAATGCCAAGCAAAATGGGACTTAACTAAGAATGCAAAATATTTCAATCACTTCTGCACTGCCATATACACAATATTAAATCCTAATTACTACTGTAGGGATAAGAGAAATTCATCTATCTTACTTACATAATTAAAATATCGTCTACTAAATTAACTACACATGTCACTAATATTAATACATAGGCAGTAAATTATCCATCATCTGAAAAACAGACAAACAAGAACTACAGCAAATATGAAACAAAACTTTGCAAATTAGCTTTTAAGTAAAAGTTGAATCTATTCATTACATCAAGCAAAAACACTTTGATATCAATTCTACTGTTGTCTACTTTAATCACATACTACACATACTTTTTTGCTTCATGAGCATGAGTAGAGACGTTTCAATGTTAAAAGCTAATTCTGTTTTCATAGAAAAATTAGTAAAAATCATAACACAAACCTGTGCAGCTAACATAGCCGCGTACGGTGAAGCTTCATCACGATCAGCCTTTACTTTCATGCCACCTGTGACCCTGGCGATGGTTTCCCGACCGGATAAGTCGGTAACATGTACGAATGTGTCATTGAACGAAGCGAAAATGTGAGCTACGCCGAAAACTGTTTCACCCGCCAAGTGCTGGGGGCCTAGGGTCACCTGGACCTCTTCTTTAGCAACTTTGTTTTTCCTTGGAGCCATGTCTTAGCCTGCAAATGACAACACCTTTGCAGCGCCAATTTATAACCTTAAAAAATCTATGTAATCCCGGTACTAATTATCAAGAAAAACATCCAGATTAGAAAAATAATATTGCTCTGTCAAATAAATTATTTATTCCCGTTATAAATACATATTTAACAAACTTTTAAAACAAAAACTATATATACCTTAAGCTTTAAAAGCTGTCAAACTCTAAAAAGACCATAGATAAATAAAGTTGTAGTGAAAAAGACTACCGGATGCAAGTGTTTCCAGGACCAGTAGCTGTCATTTGCAAAAAAAAATTTCATAAAAAAAATATATTAAAATGTACAAATTACATTTACGGTGTAAAAATTCTTTCATATAAATTTTTAATACTAAAATATTGTAAACATACTACATAAAAAAAGAAAATTATAGGAATATAAAGAGAAATTTATTTTAAACATTTCAAATTCAAATAGCAAGTAAAACCTCCACGTACGCATACCAGTTTTTAATACAATCGTCGTATGCAAATTAAAACTAATCTTATACTGGATTCCTTTCAGTTATTCAGTTTGTGTTAAGCAAAATATATGATATATTTGAATAATGTATCCAGAAGTATCTTAGCAATCTGATACTGATTGATTGTCACTACCAGTAATCTATGATTGTCACGTTTCTATAAAACTATAAAATGAAACTTCTATACAAGATGGTTTTGGATTGTCGGCTAGGTTGAACGGGTCCCAGTACCTGAACTTTCTACAAAATAACTTAAATGGTTTATTGTTTGAAGTTAATTTACAAACGAGGAGGGATATGATATTTCAAAATGACGGTGCTCCTTGCCATTTTGAAAGACAAGTGAGGGAGCACCTCAAAAGAACTTTCCCAGGAAGGTGGATTGGGCGTGCAGGGCCAATCGAATGGCCTGCATGCTCACCAGATTAAAACCCTATAGATTTTTTTATTTGGGGATTCTACAAAGAGATGGTGTATGCTAGAGAAATTAATTCGGAAAATGAATTAAGGGAAAAATTGAGACAGTGTGCAGAAGAAATCAAAGAAAATACGAATGCTTTTCGAAGACTAAAAGCAAATTTTTTAAGACGATGTAGACTGTGTATCGAAGTTAATGGCCGCCATTTCGAAAATTTACTTTAAATAAATTTATCTTAAATTATTTACTAGTTTTATTATGAATCTTGAAATCATTTGTCCAGAACGTAGTAAAATGATACTTTGTTGTCAATAAATTTTAAACAATACGTAAAGACACTGGATGTTATTTTTGCTAACCTGAAGCATTTACTATCTTAGTTTAGCCCTAGAAATGATAAAAAGATTTTTTAAATCAAATTAACTATTCAGGTAGTTTCCTGCCTGAGTAACTTCAGAAGTCTGTAACAGAAAAACTGGCCTATTAAGTGTCATTTTTTTATGTTATTATGAAAGATTAAGGTACTGCCAAGTTTTTTAAAAGTAATTAGAAAGTATGAAATCATTTATTACTATTTTTCATTTAATGTTGAAAATTCAAGCCCCACTCTCCTGACAGAAAATTTTTAAGTTTCGATTAAAATTATAGTATCTTCGGTGAATGTTAGGAAGCTAATTATTTTATGCATAATAGGGCAACTCATAAGGAACATGCTACAAACAAAAAAACTTGGAAAAAATCTCACAATTACATTTTTTTTAATGTTAGGCTGTTTAGGGTAAACATTTTCAAAAAAAGGATGAAAAAAATCATAACTCGAAAACTACAAAAAATCGCGGAACATACATAGGGTATTTTCGGATACCCCTACGTGTGAGGAATCAAAAAAAAAAATTATAACCTCACTGTTTGGACCACCCTATTAAATTTTCTTATATTGTTTATTTAAAACTAATGTATATGTTTTAAATCTTAGCATCGTAGCAGAGCAAAAAAGATGCAATTAAAATTTGTGATACGAAAGTTCTTAATCTAGTATAAAATTAATTATTCCATATTTAAGTAACAGAACGCAAAAAGATTGGGCGTGCCTCAAAGCTCAATTCTCGACCTCTTTCTGTTTCTTGTCTATTAATGACTTACCTTACATAGTAGGGGATAACCATAATATAGTGTTATTTACTGATGACACTTCATTAATTTTCAAATTAAAATGACAATTATTAAAATAAATAATGCTATATCTAAATTAGTAAATTGGTTTAATGTTAATAACTTGCATTTAAACGACACTAAAACGAAAGGTATGAAATTCGTGACTTCAAATGTCAAACAATAAATACTAATATAATTTTAAATGGGGAGGAACTGAATCTTGTCGATACCACCATTTTTCTTGGAATAACACTAGACGCGAAGCTTCAATGGAACCCCCATATATCGAAATTAGCAAGCAGACTTAGTTCTGCAGCATATGATTTAAAAAAGATTAGAAATCTTACCAGTGTACTTTACCTATTTTCATAGCGTGATGTCGTATGGTATTTTACTATGGGAATACGCGACTGACACTGAAATTTTATTTTTTATTACAGAAGAGGGACATGAGAGTAATCAATGATTTAAAATCTAAAGAGTCGCGAGTCGAATATATTACCTTTGGCCTCTCAATACATTTATGAAAATGTAATGTTACGTACATTACATATATACAAGAGTCGCTCCGAGAAAAAAATTAAGGAAATTAATATATTAACTTTGGCCTCTCAATACATTTATGAAAATGTAATGTACGTACACAAAAATAAAAGTTGTTATACAAAAATAAGTGATATTCATTCTGTAAATATTAGGAACAGACACAAGCTAGTAGTACCAGTTACTCGACTCCATCAAGTCAGTAATTCATTCTTGGGGCGATGTATACGCTTTTACAACAAAATTCCAGAAAATATACAAAATTTGACCTGCCCAAAGTTCAAAAACTTTATTAAACTAAGTTTGTATAAAAAGGGTTATTATAATATCAAAGAATTTATAGATGAGAATAACCCCTGGAAATGTGGTGATCGCTACCAAGCTATTTCTAATTTGTTGTGTTGTTAATTTGTGTAACATACATGATTGTAAGCTGTTATTTAAAACAAAGTCCCGCAGGGTTTCTTGCTGGTTCTTCCTAGGACAGAGGTTTTTTCAAACCAGTGGTAATTAAACAAAAGAGTGACTTTCAATAAGTATTATTTATAATCTGTATTGAATAAAAAAGTTTCTGATACTGACGAGTCACAAGTTTACAAATATCAAAATTACCTAAGGCTGTGTGTGGAATGTGAAAAGCTTGTTAAATATTATAAAATTACTTTAAAGCGGCCTTAACTAATCTTTGATCGCAACCTCAAACCTCCAAGCAGTGACAATAATTGACAACTTCCGGAAGTAGCGTACGTCATTGCCAACGGAGATTGATATTTCATCGCATAATCTTTTTCTAGTAAAAAACGTCGCTCAAAACGACGAAACTTGTTAATAAGACGTGCGAAATATTGTGATAATCTTCCTTTAGCATTAGTAAATCTAGTTCAATTTTATTATGTGAGTATATTATTTGTGTTTCTGTGTAATAATAAGTTAAATTTCGTCTACACAAATGACGTCCTGGTCTGTCATTCATGTAACATTTTCACAAATGAAATATTCCACTACACCTTAGAGAAGTGTTATGTGCCTTCCTTGACGATACGTCTAAGAGTTAGTCTATTGCCAGATGAAACTACGCAATAGATGAAATTGAGATTTGCAAGTCATTACTTTACATTCGTTCTTTGTGAAGAAGGTAAAGAAGATGATGTTCTGATATAATAAATACTGTTTCCTACGTTCCAGATTCAAAATGTTTATCTTGGATTGGTTCACTGGCGTCCTTGGATTTTTGGGTGAGTGATGGTCTTTTTAAAACTTATTGAAAAATAAAGCAAATAATAAAACATTCTCATTCATACTTTTGATCTCTAAACCAAAAAACTTTGGTTTGGTGTTTCATGGATTTATTTATTTGGACTGGTCTTTGACTTAATTCGGTTACTACTGAATGATTTTTACTATTAAAATTTGTTTGTAGCGTTAGATTGTATATACACTTTAACCTTACATGATTTGACTGGTTATATTGATTATCCTTTGAAGTTGATTGTTTCTATTCTTTTAAAGAAATAAATACTTTTTTTTTCTTCATACACCATAATCAATCATACTTGAGTGTAGATAGTTTAATAGGTATCGTGTCACTCAATGGTACCAGACTGCAACAAAGACTAGCAAAGATTTAGTGCAGTAACACAGATATAATATTATAACACATTGAGGATGCCAAACATTATTTGCAATTTGTAAATTGCTGGAAATAACCTTGATTAATGTTTTATACTTAATGTGATGGTCATATTTAAATTGATTTTATGTTTCAAACTTTTATTGATGGACAAATCTGGTATTTGTTAGATTGAATTTATATTATCATTTTCTAAAACACATAATTTTGAAATAATTATTTTTTAAATTATGAATGAAATGAAAAAATAAATTACAATTGAATGTATGTGTATATTTGTTATTTCTTGTTTTTTTTTTTTAAGTCGCATTTATTATCTTTTCATTTAATTATGAGACTTGAAGTAATTTCCATGTAAACATTATCTATACTAATATAATAAAGCGGAAGAGCTTTTTTGTTTGTTTAAACTAGCTAATCTCTGGAACTACGAGTCCGATTTGAAAAATTCTTTTTGAATATTTATTTTGTATATTATAGCCAAATTCATGTGGAATAGTATAGGCTATCTAGCATTAAGCTATATCACTCAGCTAGCCTTAGATATGGATATTTGTTAAGCAAGTCAGAAGAAAAAGCACTCCCGAAATGATTTATCTGCGTACGCTGGTGTTATCGTTAGGGATACGTAAATACAATGTTCTAGAAAAATATATATCTTTACTCCGTCTAAAAAAAAGTCTGCTGTACTATATGTCTATTTCTTATACATGAGCCATAAATAGGTATTTTGTGACAAAA